ATCATAGCTCACTGCAGTCTTGAACTCCTGTGCTCAAGGGATCCTCCACTTCAGCCTCCCAAGGAGCTGGGACTACAGGCACATGACACCACCACTGTGCCTGGCTAATCTTTAAATTTTTTTTTTTTGTTTTTTTTTTTTTTTAAGAGATGGAGTCTTACTTTGTTGCCCAGGCTGGTCTGAAACTCCTGGTCTCAAGTGATCCTTCTGCCTCGGCCTTCTAAAGTGCTGGGATTACAGACCTGAGCCACTGTGCCTGGCCTAAATTCTATAGTTTTTTAATTGTGATTTTATTATTCTCATCACAAGTTTACTTAATTTGTTTTTTAAAATTCTAAAGTTTTAATCCAGATGTTGCTGCTCATATCAGAAATATAAAAGTTTTACATAATTTGGAGATCAGGAAAAAATTACTTGGAATTTGGCAAAGATTATCAAAATAAAGCTTCCAGTTTATGTTGCTAAGCTGTCTCTTAATGGTGGTGTTACCGTTGGGCTATTCTCTCACAGCAAAAATGGAGTTACAGAGTTGTTTCAATACGTGCCTGTGTGTTAAAGTGAAAGCATGTGACATCCACACCAATAAATGGGTACCACATGGCAAAAATACCCAGAAGCAAGTCAGTAGTATGAAAGGGATAATTTAGTTCTGTTTCAGTTCATTTTTTCCCTTCAGAGGGGGAGAGAGAGAGAGAGAAAGAAAGAAAGAAAGGGAGAGACAGAGAGAGAGAAAGTTTGTATTCCTACAGTGGAATCAGGCTTTTCATTTTAGTTTATACATGTGGTTGGTTTAGTGAGGTTTTGTGCCTGTCTGATTTTAATGTTGACTTACAGCTTTTGGATACCAAATTTCTTTATCTTTAAAAATGGAAATGATGGAGGTGACAGTGGTATGCTACTCGCTTACCTCAGCTGGCATAGATATGGCCCACTGTCTGCTCCTGGCCTGTCCTAGCTCCTCTTTAATAGCTATTTGTGTGTGCTTATCTTCTTTTCTAGGCTTTAGGGATCTACTCAGAAAATAATTATTGAGGTCTGGCGTGGTGGCCCATGTCCATAATCTTAGCACTTTGGGAGGCTGAGGCAGGCAAATTGCCTGAGCCCAGGAGTTCGAGACCAGCCTGGGCAACATGGTAAAACCCTGTCTCTACTACTACTACTACTAATAAAAAAAATCAGTGGGCATGGTGATATGTGCTCGTACTTCCAGCTGTTTAGGAGGCTGAGTTGGGAGGATCGCCTGAGCCTGGGAAGTCAAGGCTGCAATGAGCCAAGATCATGCTGCTGCACTCCAGCCTGGGCTACTGGAGTGAGAGCCTGTCTCAAAAAAACAAAGCATTACTGAGGGTTTAGGTTGTAGATGCCTTGTACTGGCTTTGACCTTCATCATCAAAGAATATCTAGAATAGAGCGCCTTGAATATAGTGTGTATTAGGAAATGTTAAATGGCAAGGGCAGTTATTTCTTTGTATCTGTTCAATCTGAAGTTCAACTCAGAATATACTTTCCATAAGTAACAATACTGTTCATGGCTAGAAACTTCACTGACCCTTAAAAATTATTTATTTCCATTGCTTAAATGGAAGTCTTAAGTATTTTTAAAACTTTTGAAAATTAAAACATCTGTTTATCGTATAAAAAAAATTTCAGCAATGCATATCCATGACCATATTAAGTGGATATATAGCCATATATAAGTTTGCTGTTATATTGTTTGTTTTCATTTAAATCTTTTTGGGTAAACCCTATAGTGTAAAGAGCATGGGTTTTAGAGTCAGTCAATTCTGGTCAAATCCTGGTTTTGTAACTTATTAGCAATATAATTAATTGTATTAGCTCCAGCCAATTAGTTTGACTTTGGGCAAGTTACTTAATCGTTCTGAGCTTTGTTTCTCCATCTGTTTTATAGGAATAATAATATTTATCTTGCATGGTTGTCTTGAGAATTAAATAAGGTTATAGATAAATTGACAGATAGGTAATACCTAGCATGTGCCAGATAATCAATACCACAGATTAACAGTTAATGTTAGTTTTCCTTTTACTCCATTTATGTGCTTACTCTTATATTATTTTAATATTAGAGTACAGTGTCTTAAACTGTTCATGTTTTAATTGGATATCTAGAAGATAAAAGGCATTCTGTATTTTATGTCAACCATTGCTAGTAGCTTTTACCTATGGGAGTAAATCCGTGGAAGTAGTTTTGCTCAATATATGCTAACATGAAGCAGCTTTCTATTTTCAGTTTATTCCCTCAGATATTAGTTTGGTCTTTCTCTTTTTAATATGAAAAGCAGAATGAGGCCAGCATTCATTTATGTTAGAGCAGTGGTCTCCAGAATTTATTGAAGGGCCACAGTGTTACCAAGTTAAATGATGACTGCTGACTTTCAGTTTTCCTCTCTATACTAGGTACTTCTTTTTAAAAATGAGTTTTATTACAGGTTTAGATGATTATAACTATCACTACAAGGTCAAAAAGTTCCATCACCCTAGAAACCCCTTATTTTAGTCACATTGTTTTCCCCATACCTAACCCCAGACAACTTTCTGTTCTCTGTTCCCGTAGTTTAGCCTTTTCCAGAATGTCATATAAATGGACTCACACTGTCTGTAGCCTTTTGAGAGCCTTGTTTCTTTCAGCATAATGCCTTTGAGAGTCATCTAAGTTGTCAAGTCTATCTACAGTTTGTTCCTTTTTATTGCTGAGTAGTATTGTATAGATGTACCAATTTGTTTATCCATCAGTGTTCATTTGGACTGCTGGAATTCTTTTTTAAAATACTGACTTTAGCTGGGCACAGTGGCTCACACCTATAATTCCAGCACTTTGGGAGGCTAAGGCGGGAGGATCACTTGAGCCCAGAGTTTGACACCAACCTGGGCAACAGAGTGAGACTTTGTCTCTGCGAAAAATTTAAAAATTAGCTGAGTGTGGTGGCGCGTGCCTATGGTCCCAGCTCCCCTGGAGGCTAAGGTGGGAGGATTGCTTGAGCCCAGGAAGTTGAGGCTGCGGTGCACTTCCATATTATTTGTGATTGTACCAGGATGAGCAACAGAACGAGACCCTATCTCAAAAAATAAAGTGAAACAAAATGAAATATTGAGTTTGTAAGTTTGTTTTAATTTTCAAAGTAGAGTTATATATACTAATCATGGAAAAATTGGGAAATAAATAAAAGTTGGAAAAAATTACCCTTACCCAAACATAACCTCTGTTAACATTTAGGTATATTTCTTTTCAGCCTTTTTCTCTGTTCATGGGGTTTTTTGGCTTGTGGCTATATTTATGTAGTTGTGATTCTGTTTTTCATCTTTTTAAAATTATTATTTTTGTAGAGGTGGGGTATTGCTGTGTTGCCCAGGTTGGTCTCAAACTCTTGCCCTGGCCTTCCAAAGTGCTGGGATTACAGGCATGAGCTGTTTTGCCTGGCCCTATTCTTCATATACTTTAAAAAATTATTATTATTGTTGTGGTAAAAAAAAAACCTATGAGAGCTACCCTCTTAGTAAACTTTTAGAGGTGCACAGTTGCAGGAGTGTTAACTATATGCACATTGTGCATATAGTGGGTCTCTAGAACTTTTCATCTTGCATGGCTAAACTTTTATACTCATTCAATGTCAATTCCCCATTCCCTTTCCCTCCAACCCCTGGCAGCTACCGTTCTACTTTCTGTTTCTCCGAGTTTCATGACTTAGATACTTCGTATTAGTGGAATCATGCAGTATTTGTCCTACTGTGAGTGGCTTATTTAATTTAGCATAATGTCCTCAAGATTCACCCATGTTGTGGCATAGCTTCATAAACTTTAGCGTTCTGCTTTCTTTTAATGCTTCGTGAAGAATGTATTCAATGTAAGTAGTTTTTAAGAGATTATGAAGCACACAGTAGTGTAACCATCAGCTGCATTAAGAATGGCACGTTGCCAGTATCCTAAGCTTCTTATATGACCCCTTCCCATCACAGATTCTTCTTTTTTAACCTAGGGTAATTGTTAGCCTAACTTTGGTCATAGTCATTCCCTTACTTGCTTCATAGTTTTCCAACCTATGTTTGTTCTTTAAACAATGTAATTTAGTTTTGCCTCTTTTTGAAACTTGTGGTCTCTTTTAAATTTTCATTTACTATTATAAGTATTTGCTGTTGCTATGTCATGATAAACCATCGTAAAGATGCTTTCTAATAGCCACTTAGTATCCTGATGAGTGATCGACTGTACTTTATGTAGCCATCCCTAATTTAGGTTGTTTATAATTTTACTATTGGAAATAATGTCGTAGTAAATGTCTTTCTACCTAAAGCCTTTTTGTATGTAGGACTATTTCCTTTGAGTAGTATTAATATTATGATTAAGAAAATATGAAGCTTTAGGGTTCTGATATATTGCTCAATTGTTTGCAAAGAATTTTACCAATTTATACCTCAGTGAAGTATTTTTTTTTTTTTTTTTTTTTTGAGACGGAGTCTCGCTCTGTCGCCCAGGCTGGAGTGCAGTGGCCGGATCTCAGCTCACTGCAAGCTCCGCCTCCCGGGTTCACGCCATTCTCCGACCTCAGCCTCCCGAGTAGCTGGGACTACAGGCGCCCGCCACCTCGCCCAGCTAGTTTTTTGTATTTCTTAATAGAGACGGGGTTTCACCGTGTTAGCCAGGATAGTCTCGATCTCCTGACCTCATGATCCGCCCGTCTCGGCCTCCCAAAGTGCTGGGATTACAGGCTTGAGCCACCGCGCCCGGCCAACTCAGTGAAGTCTTATTTTCCCTAGTCAGCATTGAGGGTTTTCACTCTTTCCCCCAAATAAAACACCTTAGGGAATTTGATAAGCTGAAAAAAGACTATTTTATCTTATTTTGCATTTCTGAGGTTAAATCCTTCTCTGAATGTGTAATATTTGGTTTTCTTTTTTGTCGACTTTTTCTCAGTTTGTATTGGGGTAAATCAGTTTCTGAAGCAATGGTTAATACAGCCTTGTGACCAGTTCCTTTATCTTCCCAGATGTAGGCGCAAAAAACTACCGGCATCTCTGCGCTGTTTATTACAACAAGAATCCTGGGTTTGAGATCATTCATGGGCTGCTGGACAGAATTATGCAGTTGCTCGATGTGCCTCCTGGTGAAGACAAGGGAGGATATGTGATCAAAGCATCGGAAGGTAAGACAGATGAGCCAAATCCAGAGTTAGTGACAGTGTCAGGAGGAGGCTACACCTTGTTTTTGATGAAGTTGGTAATTTTGATTTGGGATTTTAGAAAGAAAGGGAGATAGAGTTTTATTTCAATCAGAAAATATCCCCTTTCCCTCCAGCATTTTAAGAAAACACTTTTCAGAACTCTCATAAGTGCTGCACAGTATACTTTTGTTCCAACTGAGCTATGGCAACCCCTAGTTACTGGTACCTTTAAGCCATCAGCACCATGGTGAACCCAGAAGTTTTAACTGGAAGCTGGTAAGGCCTAAAGTGATGGTTTGCACTCAAAAGCTGCCTGTCTGGTGGCTTTAAGGCAAAAGAAACAAAAAACAAAAAACAAAAAGACCCCTCAGAAGTTATTCTGAAAGACTTCACACATGTTAATCAAGTTATAAAGTTGGTGGAGCAAGGGTGGGAATCCTGTTTAAAATCCCAAGCACTGTACAATCTTTGTTGGGGAGTTTAAGTTAGGCTAACTAAGTGGTATATATGTGCTCCTAATATTCTATTCATAGTTTCTCATTATCCAAGGAATTCTGAAATTTTTGCTTTTCATATTTCTGCAGCTTCAATCTAAATTAATTTTGTTACATGAAAGGTCCAGAAACAACTTGAGAGAAATATTTTACCACTTAATCCTACTGTTTACCTCACTGTGCTTTGTAACTCTATTTGGCATCTTAAATTTCTAACAGAGCATTTATTTTTAAAGTGTTATTTAACAGTTATTTGTAGTGAAATTTGGTGGGGTAATATTTTTGGTTTTTTCTTATATTTATTTTATTAGTCCTCAGGGATTGTTTTTGTTGGTGGGTATTTAATTTTTGTTTTGTTTTCATTTTGAGACTCCTTTGAAAATAACCCTGAAATCTATGGGGATTTTTAGGCTGAAGAAGTGTGTGGTTTTTTGTTTTTTTTTTTTTTAATAAATGAGAGATTAAATAAGCAGGAAGTTATTTTTTACCCACTTTCCATGAGAAATAATAAAATGCAGACATGTGTTATGCTTCTGGAGTTCTAGATGTTAGAACTGGATCTTGGAGTTCATCCAGCCCATGAGCCCAGTTTTATGAGTGAGGGAACTGGGGTTAGGCAAGTTAAGGAAGCTGGAGCCGGGTCATGTATGTTGACCCCACGGCTTCTGCCTCCCAGTATCCTTGCCAGTGTTGTCTGCCTTCGTAGTGCCTGTATGTACTTATTTACCAGTTTACCATCCTAGAATTTTGCTTTAAGACCAGGTCATCCAGGGTTATGGCAACCTGTAAGCTGATGTGAAGCATTTCTTTTCCTTCCATGCACGATCTTCTCAGAAATCTTACTTCTTAAACAGTTTAGCTAGACAAAAATTTGATGCAGATTGTGTCCTGAATGTGAGGTCCAATTTCTTTCATACTTGAAAGGTTGCAAAGAGCTGAAGTGGTAAATGGAAGCATAGGTTGTTGTGAATGTGATGCTTTGTGTAACCTTTAGATGGATAATATTTCTATAAACTGGTATCTTAATATTATGATTTCTCCTGCTTCGGTCAGTTCCTTAGATATTTATTTATCAGAAGAGTGTGAGTTCCCAGTTATAAGGCAGACTTCAAGAAAGACAGCGCTAAGTAGGACACAGGTGCCGCTGTCAGACAACCTGCCAGGGAAAAGAACACCACATACCGACCCGCGAACCGAGATGTTAAAGATGTTAACATGATTGTCTTGACATTTCTGAAGAGGAAGAAAGTGCAGCTTCTTCAGGGCATCCGGAAAAACAATAGGGAGTTTCTGCAAATGAGATGGGCCTTTGGAAGAATAGGTGGAGACAGCAAAGCAAACTCATGATGGGAAACACAGGCTGTGTGTTTGGAAACACAGCAGACAGTGTAGTGTGGTTTGGCTATAGGGTGAAGAAGGAGCTTGAAACTATATTTGGAGTCTTGAATGCTAGGGAAAGACTGCAGCTAGTTAGGAGAAAAGTATTAAAGCTTCTTTTTTTAAAGCAGGTAAGTGATACTAGATCTGTACTTTAGAGGGATTAATTTAGCAGCAGTATGTAGGTTGGGTGGGATGGAGAGCAGAGGTGAAGAGAATGGTGGGAAGGGATTTTAGCACGTTGTAAAGGAGTGAGAATGAGGACTTGGCCTGAATGGTGCTCATAGCTATACCAAGGAAAAGACTGATTTATGAAACCTTAGGAATATAGAAGCCACAGTATTCATCATTTGGAAAATTTTGTGATATGTGCCACTTGGAACCTTTTGTGATACGGCTAATTTGTGTTCTTCTTTTTAAAAGTCAGGTTTTTCTAATTCTAAACTTATGATATTATAATTTGAATTCCATATAATTTAGCACCCATACAGAATATAATACTTAGTATCTAGTTTCCTAACATGTAGATGTCTGCTGTTTTTGTTTAGAATTTTTTTTTTTTTAATTAGGAAATACACATTCATAAACTGTCACTACTTCTGATGTGGTTGTAGATCTTTATGTTCAATTTTGTTAGGCCAGGTTGTTATTTTGGTTTTTGATTTAGCATGAATATTTACAGACTCAGTCTTGTGGTTCCTTTTGAATCTACATTGGCTTTCATAGTAGAACACTGTAATCTTCTGAAGTTTTTCCATGTTTGAAATGTCCAAGATTATGAACGTGAAAAGCTTTATACACATGGGCAGCCTGAATCAGTATGTATTTCAGTATATCTAATGGGCTTTCTTTGGGAAAGGCAGATTTACTTTCACCCCCTATCACCATCATTGGCCACATTAGTCTCTTGGAGTCCTGGGCATGCACCTAGCTCTGGGTGCTTTTTTCTCAGGGTGCTTTCTGCAAGAACTATCAAGCCAGAGAGAATTGCTGTCATTACAAATAATAGTTCCTCATTTCTCATAGGGATTTCTATTCTGATTATCTAATGGCAAATATGATTATCCTTTTTTGTTTATGGTTGAAGACACCAAGGTCTAAAGAAGTGGCTTGTCAAAATAAGTCAGTAACAAAGTTGGTATTAGTTTTTCATCTAATATATATGTGTGTGTGTGTATCTATTTTATATATATGTATATATATTTATATATATTTTAAATATATAAATATAATTTAAATAGATATTTTATATATGTATATTTAAATATATATTATATATGTATATATTTATATATATTTAAATTATATATAAATATATAAAATATAATTTAAATATATATTGCATATGTATATATTTATATATATTTAAATTATATATAAATATATAAAATATAATTTAAATATATATTTTATATATACACACATACAGATATATTAGATGAAAAACTAATACCAACTTTGTTACTGACTTATTTTGACAAGCCACTTCTTTAGACCTTGGTTTCTTCAACCATAAACAAAAAAGGATAATCATATATATATTTTATATATACACACACACACATGCATACATACATACCACAACTAAGGAACAAAATTGTTTTTCAGACTCCTAAGCAAATCAGTAAACACAGGAATTTTGTTACTGGGGCATGTTTAGCTGCATCATTTCCTCCAATTTATTGTTATTTTACATACAGCTTTTTCAACTAAGAAAATGTCTTCAGAGTATTAAAAAGTAGAGTTAGAAGCAGATTAAGAACTACCGTTTCCTGCCATTCTTGATTACTGAGTTGTCTTATATTACTCTGGCATATGGTTTACTTTTTAATAATTAAAAATCCCTAGTGGCATTGCAGTTATAATTGAGCTAAGTCTGTTCTCCAGAGTCCTGCATATGTCAGTTACATCGGCACTTATACCTATTTCTTCCTGTCCTTCTAATGTATGCTACTAAGCTTTCTTTTGTGCTGCTTTGTTTGGTGGTAGGGATGAATGGAACAGAACTTGATTCACCTTTGAGAAACTTGGCCCTGTGCATTGTAAGAAATCTGGAAATTCATCTGATTGATCTTTGCATCGATCTAAGGAGTTTTGTTGACACTGGAGTGTAACCTTGCGTGTTATGCAGGGGCAGTCTTCTGCAGCATGTGGAGTATCTGCAGGAGCACCCAGAAAGCCCGTAGTTGTAGCCAGAGTGAAAAGCCATGGTCCCCTGGTCTTACATATTTCTTATTTCCTGAGCATCATTGCAGTTAACACCATAAAGTGAGATAGAATGTCAAGTTGATGACAGAATAAGGTCAATGTTGAGTGGGAAAAAAAGAAGAACCTTTAACTTTTTAGCAGACTGCACAGCATTTTAAGAGTTTCAAAAGGGTTCAACTCCAAATGTTTCAGTGGCTTTGGGTCAGATTATTATGGCACATACATATGCTGTTTCTTTTTTTCAGGCTTCTTCCCCTTCGTTTTTTTGTGGTTTGTTGCAAACTTAATTATGTATGTTAAGATGCATTTATCCTTTTCAAAAACCACTTCTAGGCAAGGAAAATTCTCAACATTTTTGTGTTTAGAAAAGTTATGTGGTTGCTGGGCAAATCAGTGGCAAAAATTATTTCTTGTAGAATGTATGGGCTTTGTGTGTGATTGGCTGCATTGTCTTGAGCCTGTGGTTTTTTTTCCCCCCTTTAGCTTGTTACCTATTTCAGTTTTGATTATTTACAGTTCTACAGAAAATCTGAATTTAACTTGTGACAAGATCCCTGTTGGAGAGACAGAAGGTTTAGAACTTTAGTTTTGACAATTCTAGTTTTCATGCTGCTCAGAATACATTTTGTGAAATGAAAAATAACCTTGTAAATAATATGCACATTTAATCCTGTACCATATGTATACACAGTGGGTAGTACCTTCTGCTACAGTAATGCCTAACGATCGTTGGCTTGACCTGGAGTTCATGACCTTTTTCCCCTTTCAGGACACCTGTGAAAGATTTCAGATGCTAAAAAATATGGGTGAAATTGTGATGTTTCCCTGGTCGTCACACTGGTTTTTAGTGTAACATGAGCTTGGAAATATATGAGAAAAATATCTATTGAATAACTTGTTGAA